GATTATGAATCATGTGCTTCCAGTAGTACGGGCCCAATACTACCTTCCAAACCTGTCCATACTTTCCTTAAGAATCTTCGCGAATCTTCTAAGTCACCTCTTCATGATGATACTCCAAAAACCCATTAAACAGAGCACCAATGGTACTAAGCACTTTCTAGGCTCTCCTAGGATTCCCATGAAGGATCTTCTAAGCTCAAGAATCGTATTAAAATGATATTGCTAATTAACATATCATACTAATGGGCCACACTAACAACAACTTGATACAATTGATTATTTATTAGAAATTGATTTTAATATATATCCAACAAACTCTTATAATTGAATTGGAAATTATTTATGTCTAGGAAATAAATAACTTTCATTAGCAAAGAACATAATATATCATATGGTTTGATTTATTAAATCATGTACATCATTTTGGACCATAGGGACTCTTTGTCTTTTACCAAAAGGTTAAGTTTATATTTTATAAAAGAGTTTATAAAAGAATTAAAAAGGTTGACTTCTTTTTATGTATAAAAATTGTAGCATGCTTCTAGGAAGCATGTTATGGGCTTTTGATTATTTAAATGAAAATAATTACATGTCTTCAGAATCATGGAAGACACTTAGCTGTAGGTGCATGGATGGCAAAAAGAGTTAAGGACTTAAGGGTAAAGAAAGTGCTTTATGAAGGCTTGAACTCTTCCCTTTTCTCTTCCCTAGAAACCGTAACATGCATGCACTCTCTCACTCTCTCTTCTTTTGATTTCAAATTTGAAGAACACTTGCTTATCTTATTCTCTCTTGAAGTTCATATTTGTTATGAACTTCAAGCTTAAGAGATTAAGAGTTTTATACAAAAGAACTAGCATTCTACATCAAGTTGAGTCATTGTTGGTGTCTCTTAAGTTCATCATTCTTCATCAACTTCCAAGCCTCCCAAGAGGACCCAAATAACCACAAAGGTTGTTATTTCTTCACCTCTTATTTGGTTGGTGATTTTTGTCTTTCTACAACTTGCAAGATGATCCTTGCTGGGTTGTAACTAGCTTATTAAGTTTGAAATTTAAAGTCTTCCGTTTGCCATATTTATGAGTTTTTGAAACTAATTATGAATAAAAACCCAACAATTGGTATCAGAGGCACCTTGCAAGTTTGGTTAGATTTTTTGATTTTTGGAAATCTTAGTTTTTGGAGAATATGGATAATTTGGTCTTGTATAAAAACAAATTCATACATATTTTCTATGACAACTTTATAATTGTTATTTTTTTATGTGACAAAACTTTCATGCATCTTTTCTCATTTAAAGTTGTCTTAGAAAAACAAAGATTGTTTAATGTGTTTGTTGATATGTATGATGTGCATAAACTATCCAAGGACCATTGTGTTTGTCGTTTTTATTATAAAAATGGTTGTAATAATTTATTTATTTATATGGTATGTAATAAATTAAATAGATTAGTTTTGTTGGTTTTTTTGTAAGTAATAGATTAGTTTTTCGAAATAAGTTATTTGTACAAAAATGTAACAAGAAATGAAGTTGGAGCCATTTTTTGAAGACCAAAGAGCAATTTTCAAGATTAAAAACATGCTGAAATTTAGTGGCGGTTTCTAAAAAGTGTCACTAATGTTGTTTCTTAAGGGCTATTGGAGTTTTAGCTACAAATGCTAAAATATTGCTTTCAAGAAACTTTTCCAATCATTTGCAATTAAATGTTATTTATAATTAAATCAAAGAGGTTTGACATTCATTGTATTTAACTAGTACATATAAAACTTAATAAGATTAAAATATTAAAATTATGTTTACTTAATTAAATGAATAACATAGTTCAAATATTGTCCCTTAAAATGTCCCTTTAGGAATGGACTTGGCATTTTTTATGTTGGCTCACAAAACATATCATTAGTTGGTTATGTTTATGTCATATATTTTATGCATGTTTGTGTTGTTTATTTTATGCAATAATTATGTGTGGTTGATAAATTAGTTTTTCACATGCTAAAATAGCTCTGGACAAAATAAACATCACATGGAGTTTAGTTTTCAAAATTTTCAATGTGGACATAAGATGTAACAAATTATTTTTTTAAAAATAAAATCTGGTTTTAAAAAAACGTTAATAATGTCAAATTTTGAAATAATCAATTATAAGTTTTAAAATTATGATTTTTGTAACTTATACAAACTTCAAATATATAAGTAATACAATGAAGTTTTATTAAAGATATAAAAGGTTCAAATGCACTCAAACTTAATAGCGGTTATTAAAATTGAATCGCATTACATTATATAAAAACTAGCTTTTTATATAGAACATTTAAAAATGATTTTCTTTTTGAAAACTGGTATCATGGTTTATTATATGCATGTAATAACCATGATATCATATGCTTTTAAAACTAGAATATAAAACATATAAAAGACCTTTTTTTACAAACCTCAAGTCTATGCAATCCTTTTGAAGAACACTCACACATCTCTTCTATACACTAGTGGGATAAATGATACCTAACCGCTTAGTATTATCTTTTGATGGTCGGGGTGTCTGCGCGATTTCTATAACCAAGTTATAGGCCGATTACATGTGTTTTTCAAATTGGATGATTTGATCGGAAATCTTTTCTTATAAAGGTCACCTAAACAAGAGAGTTTTGAGGCATAGATGGGATCAAACATGTCTAATTAAATTTATTTTTATCGATCCTATAAATTTAGGAATTTTATAGTAAGATGTAATTTATAATTGATATCTACCGGGTTGGATTCAAATAAATGGGATAAAGGTCACGTAACCATTTACTGGTTTTGGAACTTGGATCCTAGACTTTGATAATTAATGTTTTTGGAAACTAAAAGAGTATTAATTATTAAAGAGTCTGAATAATGAAAATACTAAATGAATTTTATTAAAATTCTATAGTTAAATAATCCTTTCTCATTACCATGAATTGTCATTTTTCTTTAATGACTTAATGAAACAATAACATTAACTAGATACAACTTCAATGAATGAGTTCATGTATTAAGAGACAATCTCGTGAAAGATACAAAATTGTATACACTTAAACGTCCTAGTCCTAAACTATTTGCTTTGAGCAATAAACCTGAACATGATACCTAGTAAAGGCATCATTGTGATGCTAAAGATGTCTCTAACATTACACTAGGAAAGGTACAAGGCCAAAAATAGTCACCTTGTGTGATCTAGGAGGCCCATGTTTCATGGACTAATCACCTTTAAGCCCAAGAAATCCAATAAGGCCCATATAGATGGATATTGTTCCTTTTTTATAGAAACTGTATACTGGAAGAGGATCTGCTCCTCTTATATGGAAAGAAAGTCTGGAAGAGACTAGTATTTCTGGTATCTACTAAATAGAACTCATACTTTTCATATAACACTTAGGTACTTGGTACTTAAATGTTAATCCAATATTCGTAATTGGCTTACAGATATTTACAGAAGAGTAACCAGTTGAGCACAATCAAGTTATAACTACACTCTCGGAGTTTAGTTTATTAATTATGCTAGGAACATAATGTACTTGTAATATAAAACAGTGTTTGTTTTAGAACAATGTAAGTTTTAATTTAGCTTGTCTAAATATATGTCTCAGTTATTTTAATTTATGAATGATGGACTATTTGCTTAAATCGTTTTTCATAACGATTACCTTGATATTCGAAAATGATTAAAATTCTTTTTATGAGACTAGATCTCTTAATAAGAATTATAAAGTAAATATCAATGTTTTATAAATAACAAGTTATGTGTGCAAAATACTTTTGACTTAAACTTGTTTTAAATCAAACTCATCTTTGATATTGTTATCTTTTTTATATAAATAATATTCACATATTCCAACTTCAAGAAAGAGATATTTGAAGGCAAATAATATAGTTTATTTGGCATATGTAAATCTAACTTATATATAAAGGCATTTTGATAATATTTTCACTAAGTAGTAGAGAAAATAAATTATTAAGGAATTATACATTGTTATGTATAAGATTTAGTGCAAGATACCAAATCAACTTTATTAACAACTATAGTAGTTTTAATTATATTTTACATGGTAAAACATAATTGTGAAACCTTTGTTTAAGTTTTCAAATATAAAGTTGAGATACAAACCGGTAGAACTAGCTAAGGACTTAATGATAATAAAGAATGAATTAAATATTACTTGATATGATTTACTTTCTAATTTGTAGAAATGTCATCTTTTTATTTTCTTGGGATAACATATACTCCACTATCAATTGTACCTTGACTATAAATACCAACTAATAAGTAGATAAAAACATTTTCTTTATAAGATTTTGTTTGGAAAGGTCTCATCCCTATCTTATTAAATGTTTTGTGGATTTAAAACCTATGTTGGACTAAAGCTTTTAAACCCAAAATCTACTATATACATATTTGTATGACACTCTAAATATGGCTTAGATTATTTTTTTTCAATGATCTATATGTGCATATTTGTATTCGTATATATGTGCATATACACATATGTTATATGACGTTATATGCATATGAAAAAAATCGTTTTTCCCCTATTTTTTCTAGTGAATCTCTTATGGCTTGTTTCTCTTGATATTATGTTATATATTTGCAAGTATAATTTATTGTCAAAATGTGAAGTTGTGCATGATTTTTATAAGGATTAGAAGGATTCAATGATTAATTGTTTTTATAACTTTTTACGTAATAACGTAATACACGGTTAATTTGTAACTATAAATTGTAAACTATTGTTGTAGATATACTTGTCTCCTTGTTAGAATAATGCACACGATATGTTTATGTTAAAACCTTTATACCAAGAATTGCTATAATTTTTTGGGTGTACTTTTACGTATATACAACTGCATTATTTTGTTCCAGCATGCTTATTCTAGCATTAAAGATGTAAAATTCCATAACCGATATTCAAATTCAACTGAATGTACAACTTTATACATAAATTTTTTTATAGAAAACTCAAATACAAAATGACAAAGCTAACAAACAAACAACTTGATGAATCATTTCTATAATTACATCCATATATCAACAAATATGTATCTTTAGGAACATATAGTTCATCACAAAAATACAATCACTTTAATGTGTTTAATTACATACAACCACATTTTAATTCATCTAGTTAATGAACACAACTGCAAGGAATAAGAGCAATCCCAAAATCACTCGAGAGCTACATGGATAATGTGACGAAGATAAATCTCTAGCAAAGACTTCATACACATTCCCAGACTCTTCATCTTTCACTTTGATGCTTGAAGAGCCTAAAATGACACAAAATCGGATGTTTAAAGTTTGGGATAATTCGGTAATTTACATTATCTCAGTAATTAGTTTTCTTGTAGGTACTCTTGATCTGATTATCGAATTTTGACTATAAATAATCAAAATACCAATTTAATATTCATTTTACCCGAAAACTTAAAAATAGTAATGGACAATTAATTAGGTAATTTTAATTTTTTCTCAATTTCTAGTTTTATTTTAGCTACTCTTTACTTGAATATCGAATTTTGATCCTAGACAATTAGAAAACCAACACTCAAACAATATTTTGATGTATCTTCTAACTATCATAATCATATGTTTAAAGCTGGGGACAACTTGGTAATTTTACATATATCTCAATTATCAGTTTTCTTATAGACATTCTTCACCTAATTATTGAATTTTAACCTTAGATAATAAAAAAAAGTTTATCAGTTTAGCCAAACATTTAAAACGTTATTGCAACTCCTTCCAATGAGAATAGTTAAACACTTCAATTTAGGGACAATTACGTAATTTTACATTTGGCAACAAAATAAATACATTAAGAGAAGTGTACTTACAATTATAATCGGTCCATCCAATGACCTGATTATCTATATCATACGTAACCAGCTTATCTGATAGAACAAGATCTGCGTAAAGACAAAAATTGGAAATTTTCAATTTAGTCCCATTATGTCAAAAGAGAAAGTGCTAAATGCAAGAAACAGAAACATAATTCCATTTATTTATTTATTATAGCAACAATTTTTCTATTAAAACATTGTACTTTTAATTTTTTTATTATTAAGGCATTGTTTTTTGAATTATCTACCTAATTCTAGAATTGTATTTCTAATTTTTTTTCTTATAATTAGGTAGATATTTTGAAAGTACAATGTTGTAATACGAAAAAATTGAAAGTATAATGTTGTAATAAACAAATAATTGAAAGTATGTCGTTGTTTCTTGCATTTAACACAAATAAAAAACATTTTAGTTCCACAGCCATGCCTGTAAATCTACCAAAAGGGTTTAGAAATTGATAACAATATTCTTTTGTGGAACAAAATATATTAATTTATGATTTTATACAAACCTCTATCAAATACAAAAATTTAAGGGGCGAAAATAATTTAATTTATTATTTTATACTGAAATTTTATTGTAAACTACCTCCCAACAAAGTTAGATCTCCTCCATCCTTCCCTTGAACGTTACTGTTCATAAAACCGATGCACCATTCATCCTGAAGAGTGAAGATAATACAAATTGTTAATAAATTTTAAAATTCAAGGAATAAACAAGATTAGGTTTTTGTATAATATAATAGAATTTATACCTCAACTGTAAAGAAGTATTGATGTGGCACAACTTTCAATGGAAGTTTGTTCGCAAAGTGAAAAGTGATAACGGGAAATCCTTCATCGATGCTGCATTATGGGACAATAAGACGAGATAATAAGTCATTTTAGTCAAATTTGAAGTTAGGAAAATCTCTGATAAAGTCCCAATATTTTGGGTCGATTTAAAATTTAATCCCAACATTTAATTTTTGAACGAAAAAATCCCGATTTTCTAATTTTATACAATAATATGTCATTTTCTGTTGAAAAAAAAATAAAAATTGTTTCCTTAATTTGGGCAAAATATAGAATAATCGAGACTTTTCTATTCAAAAAATAAAATTTGGGATTAAACTATAAACTTATCCAAAATATTAGGACTTGATCGGAGATTTTCCTTGAAGTTAAAGTAAAAAGATAATTGTTAGAAATAACAATGTACTTTCAATTATTTGTTTATTTTCAGTTCTTTTTATTACAACATTGTACTTTGAAGAATCTCTCTATTATAACAATGTCTTCTACATACTAAACAAATATTTACTACTATTATTTGGATAGACTTTTTCAAGATATAATGTCCTAATAAGAAAAATATTCAAAGTAGAATGATACAAATGGGTAGAGTTTTCAAGGTACAAATGCATTAATAAGAAGAAATTGAAAGTGTAATGTTGCAATACAAGGGAATTAAAGAAAAATGTTATAACGACAAAATGAAACTACGTTGCTATTTCTTGAATATAGACATAAAATAAACAACTACTCTACCATTCAAAAGTCAAATGTGAATCTGTTGAGGAAGGATATGAAAGATAGTATGCATACATGATAACTAAACATTATATAGAATATATTCTTCAAGATTTGTGATATTTCATTTAAATTTAATGAACTATATATGATTTTTTGAGCTAGTGCAGAAAGACGGACTTAATATAGAAATTCAGGAAAACACTGTTAACCCTAAAATATTTATAAAATTTCCATCAATTATTTTTTCTTTCCATTTCCACAAGTGTGATGTCATGTATCATGGTCCTTGTTTCTTATTTGAGAAATTAAATATCCTCCTAGTTTTCTTCTTACTTATCTTCCTATTCGTTTTGAAATGATGACAAATGTATTCAAATATAATTAATATTATCCAAATATGGCACTTGTAGGAATATAAATAGAAAGAAAATGTAGTATGATATTTAATTTCTCTTCTTATTTCTTTCCATACGTGTTTTTCGCATAAACTGTTGTGTGGATATATGATGCTTAAAATTTTGAGAAAATCCCAACAAATTTAAGTGGATATATGATGCTTAAAAATTTGAGAAAATCCCAACAAATTTAAGGAGATGAAAGGAAAAAATATTAGAGGGAAAATTTTGCAGAACACTAAGACTTAATAGGCTATTAAATGGTTATTTCTATATTAAGTTAGAAAAACACCTACTATGTCATATATATATATATATATATATATATATATATATATATATATATATATATATATATTTTAGTATTTCCTTTTTTACTTAATGCAAATAGAATAACGACGTTAGCAAGAAAGTAAGACTTTCTATATCAAGTCCTAACTTTTTAAAGATTTTGCCACATTTTCCTTACTAAATTTAATTAAATGAAAAAAAAGAAGCAAATGAAAAAAATCCATACTTTCCGGAGTACTTGTAACATTTAAACAACTCCTCAACCGTGTGCGGCTTGTTGTCGGGTTGTGCGGCCATGATCTAGGTTAGAAGGATAACATCAATAATTATAAAGTAAAAGAAAAATATATAAATATAAGAAAACTGAAATGAACTTAAAAGTGGAAGAAAATGTGGCATACCTTTTCCATTAATTGTTTGTAAACATCATCTGGAAAATAAGCTAAAGTTGTACCACTATCGACAACAGCTCCTTCGTTCTTCATAAAGTCAAATATACTTGTTGGGAGTTTTACATTCTCACCGTTTACATCAATTGACTTCAATTCAATGTTATAATGGGTTCTACAAAGTATATATATGTAACAACGTCAAACTAGGAGAAAACAATACAAAATAGGTTGCAGTTGCAGATGCAGATGCAATGACAGTGATAGTGATAGTGACAGTGATTGAGACAGAATTTTGTGACGCCCAAAAAGATACAACAATATGGGACATGGAATCATTTTTTATCTCCTATATATATGTACAAAAGACGTGATGCCCTATCCTCACTCTCTTCATTAAAAATATAACCAAGAAGAATATACTTTACCCCTAAAAGCATGTTTTCCAAAACATATTTAGTCACATTTGATTAACGTAGTTTCAAAGGATTGTAACATCTGTAATTTTGAAGGTCATTTCTGTAATTTCACTCCAATCACATCGATTCTTGTTCAATAAAACACAGATGATGAAGAAAGATAACTTACTTGTCATCTAGAATTGGTGTCGTTTTTACTTTTGGCTCCACCACTTCTCCAATAGCAAAGATGCCACCACCTTTATTACCATCCAAGCAATGTGAAAAAGTTTTTTTTATCTTTTTAGATGAAGCAAGTTGGGAAAGCACCGAAGTTTTTGCCTGCCCAAATCCTATAATGCCATCTAAAGCTTGTTCTGTTGAGCTTAGCTCCCCGGATTGTTTAGCTCCACACCTATCTTGTATCATAAAGTTATGCTTTTCGATTAAATGTTGTTTCAATAAATATTTAAAAAAGATTTGACATAAATAAATGAGTGGCAAAACATAGAATTGAACTTAATTGGAAAAATCTTATTTTCGTGACTTTCTGGTATTAAGTAAAAGAACTCATATATATTTTATTTCACAGATTAAATCTTATCCCCGTTAAGTCGTTTTAACTCAAAAAAGAAATATCATTTTGTGGTAAGTAGATGCATTTGAATACTTTATTATAAAATCATAAATCAAATATTTTGGGTCCAATAAAAATATTGTAATCAATTTGTAAATTTTGCATCTACTTATTAGATTTTTTGGTTCCATTAGCAATTCATTTAGGTATTGTTTTTACAAATTTGGCAAAATATGGAGAAACATTTTTACTTTTACAATTTTACCGATTTACACAATTTAATTATTTATAACAGTGAGTAAATCATTGTGTTTTTTAACCGTTTAAAAGAAAGCATTTTTCCTTGTTATCGTGTTTCGATAATAGGGAAAAAAACAAAAAATAACACAATGTATTATTTGTCTATCACTTCAACCACTAATCTATTACTATAATAATCATTAAAAAAAGAGATGATTGGCTAAATCAATGAAATGGTAAAATTACATTGTACTTTTATGCACTTTGACACTTTCTGAACCAGTTAACAGCAAAAAATGGTATTTTTAGTGTGTCAAAAAAAATATAATGATTTAATCACTTAGTCGATAAAATGATGAAAATAATTTGTTGTGATTTTCTTTTCCCTTTAAAACTTTATGTTTTATAATGCTTAAAGAAAACATAAAAACTCACCCAAATGTTACATTCCCATTCAAAATAGTCGTTTGACCATTTCCAGACACTTTGGCAAGATGTATATTATCACTAACAAAATATCCAGAAGTTGAGCTCCCATCACCATATTTACATGCATATTGACAAGGCATTCCAGCCTTACAATCACTATTCTCAGGGGCATCAAAGGTTTTTGTGCAAAATTCATCATCACAAGAAATCTTTTTGGAAGTACAGGAGCCCTCTGGATCATAAAGTAATAGGGGTACCTATTGATAATAACATGGTGACAATTTTTAATTGAACAAGAATTTGTAATACAAATGTAAACAATTACTATGTTGTTTAGTTTTAGTTAATCTGGTAAGTTATATATGGATGTTTCTTTTTCATTTAAAGTAGAAAGAACGATTTAATAGAGAAAAACGGGGAAATGAGGCTCTCCCTATTAAGTCTTGACTTTTTACTAATTTAATTTCGGGTTAAATGAAATTAATAGCAACATGCTTTGATTTATTTGTATATTATAGCATCCTACTTTCAATACCTTTATATTACAAAGTTGCACCAATTTTTTTTATTAAGGCATTGTACATTGAAAAATCTATCTCATTATAGCATTATATTTTTTTTTTATTAGGACATTATACTTTGAAAAATCTACCCGATTACGGAAGTAAAATGTGTTTTGTATTTGGATGCTCTTGCTATAATTTGGATAGATTAGAAATGAAAGTCACGTGCTATAATAAACAAATCAATGAAAGTAAAATACGTTGCTATTTTTTTACTTTAGCACTTTACTTTTTCCTTCCATTTCCCTAAGTGTGTCTTCATTTTCTCAAATATATTTCTTTTGAAAATCATTTATTTATCCGTCCAATACTTTCAAAAAAAAAATGTTGCCTTAAATTGTTACATACACCAAGGTCACTTCTTGTTGGGCATGTTTCACATTCTATACAATTCACCCATAGGAGGTCACTCCCAGTATCGACTTGCACGTGATAAGGATTTGGTGGTTCACCGAGTGTAATCTTAGTGTAATACAGACTGCAATTGCAAAACATACAACATAATCAACAATATGAATTGAATTATATAAAATGATGGATGCAAGAAATAACAAAGTGTTTTCATTGATTTGTTTATTATAGCATCATACTTTTATTTAAATACAAAACAATGTTCACTATTATAATAAACAAGCAATTCAAAGTGCAATGCCATATAACTGGATAGATTTTTCAAAATACGATGTATTAATAAGAAAATAAATAAAAGTAAGTGCTATAATAGAGAATATGAAAGTAGGATGGTCTAATACACTAATATATGAAAGTACATTGTTGTTTTGTTGAAAAATGAATTGACTAAAGAGTGGTAAATTTGGTAGGATTCGTATATATGCCTCGATTAAACAAACAGATATACTAATAACTAATAAGCAACATACTCAAGGATGCATATTAAACAAACATATATTTATATCTATTTTCCATATGTGAGAATAATGTTATAAATTATATCATCACATTCAATACAATATGCATTATGACAATCGGCAATTCACAATTATGAATTGAACTTTGAGAGGAAAACGAACAATTCAAATAATAAATTAGTTCAACATAAATTCGATAGAATTATTAAATAACCAGAAAATTGCATTTATTGTATGAGAGAGAGAGAGAGAGAGAGAGAGAGAGAGAGAGAGAGAGAGAGAGAGAGAGA